CTCAAAAAAAAAAAAAAAAAATAGAAAAACTAGCTAGTGGCACAGGCCTGTAGTCCCAGCTACTCAGGAGGCTGAGGCAAGAGTATTGCTTGAGCCCAGGAGTTTAGGATGATGTGAGCTATGACGCCATAGCACTCTACTGAGGGTGACAGACAGACTCTGTTTAAAAAAAAAAATTCATAATGCCAGTCAAATGTAAGGCATGATTATTATTGTTGTGACCATGGCCATTATGGTTATTAATATACTTACAGTTCATAGCGAAGAGGGATCCTGGTACTCAGGAAGCCTGCACAGAGAAGGAAGTACCTGAGTTCTTGAGCCAGCTTTGAAAGATGTACAGAATTCAGAAAGGGCATAAACAGCCCTGGCTTGGGAGGTGGAGGCAAGGAGAGACATGGGACAGATGAGAGGCAGCAACTGGGTACCACTTGGCTGACCAGAAGGATTGCCTAGGGGAGGAATGGAACACATCCCTAGATGGATACGAAGACTGGCCCGGGGCAGACTGGAACATTTACATGAGCATGTATGTGAGTTCTGGAGTCAGAAAGGGAGAAGTTGGCATTTCTCTTTTTCAAGGCCAGGGGGTTGCTTAGAAAAGGGACATCTAAGCCAGGCACAGTAGCTCACACCTATAATCCCACCACTTTGGAAAGCCAAGGCAAAAGGATCTCTTAAACTCAGGATTTTGAAGTCAGCCTGGGAAACATAGTGGGTTCCTGTCTCTATTACAAAGGAGAAGAGAGGAGAGGGGAGGGGAGGGGAGGGGAGAGGAGGGGAGAGGAGGGATGTCTACTACCAGTTTAAAAGTCCAGAGTATCAAAATGTTTCAGTCTATTCCCCCTCTCAAATGCTGTCCCATTGTTCAAAGAAAGTGTCTTTTCCTCAAGTCCACCCTGGGCTGGGCAGATGCTAAGTACCTCGATCATCACTGCGGCTCCCAATTCCTTTAAGTCACTGATGACCTCATTCTACACCAATCAATGGCCATTTCTTTGTCTTCATCCTTCTTGACCTCTGCTGAATCTGTGCCTGGTCCTTACTCATTCTACATTTCACAGAAGGCTGTATTGTCTGCACAGTGCTGGAACAATTGTATCTCCAGTCCCTAAACAAACAGCTTCGAAATTCTGCCTCAAATTTAAACGAAGATATTTTTCCCTGTGAACACACAGTTCTTTTAAAATACAAATGCATGGCTCGGTACCTATAGCTCAAGTGGCTAAGGCGCCAGCCACATACACCAGAGCTGGTGGGTTCGAATCCAGCCTGAGCCTGCCAAACAACAATGACAACTGCAAGCAAAAAAAAGCCTCAGGTTGTGGCTGGCGCCTGTAGTCCCAGCGACCTTTGAGGCCAAGGCAAGAGAATCACTTAAGCCCAGGAGTTGGAGGTCGCTGTGAGCTGTGATGTCACAGCACTCTACCCAGGGCGACAGTTTGAGGCTCTGTCTCAAAAAATAAAATACAAATGCATCTGAGATGGCTAAAGAGATCTAAGATTCACATCTCAGTGTCAATTATTTTAATTAATTTTTATCCTACCATCTACCTATGAGCTGCACATGAAGGAATGAAGGAATGCCTGTTTTGACCAGCTCAGCTAGAAGGAAAGGCCACTTGGAAAATGAGGGAGGGCTCTTCATTGGTCAAATGAAGAGCAGAACTAGAATACCAGACATGAATCTACTTTTCAGACTTTTTTTTTTTGGAGTAGAGTCCTGTGGCGTTATAGCTTCTAGCAGCCTCCAACTCTGGGGCTTAAGCGATTCTCTTGCCTCAGCTGGGACTACAGGCGCCTGCCACAATGCCTGGCTATTTTGTTGTTGTTGTTGTTGTTGTCATTATTGTTTAGCAGACTCCGGCTGGGTTTGAACCCGCCAGCCTCAGTGTATGTGGCTGGTGCTGTAACCACTGTGCTATATGTGCTGAGCTCAAACTTCTTTTTTTGTTGTTGTTGGACAGAGTCTCACTCTGTTGCCCTGGGTAGAATGCTATAGCATCAATCTCAAACTCTTGGGCTTAAGAGATCCTCTTGCCTCAGTCTCCTGAATAGCTATGACTACAGGTGCCTGCCACAATGCCCAGCTAGTTTTTCTATTTTTTTTTTTTAAACAGTCTCACTTTGTTGCTCTCAGTAGAGTGCTATGCTGTCATAGCTCACAGAAACCTCCAACTCTTGGGCTTAAGCAATTCTCTTGCCTCAGCCTCCCAAGTAGCTCTATAACACCTGGCTATTTTTAGAGACAGGTTGTCGTTCTGACTCCAGCTTGTCTTGAACCCATGAGCTCAGGCAATCCACCTACCTCAGTCTCACAAAGTGCTAGGATTACAGGCATGAGCCACCGCACTCCCACCTATTTTTCAAACTTTCATCCAAACTCAACTTTGCCCTTAAGGAGGTATCTAGGTGCTCCCATCCCCCACCACACATTTTCTTATCCCCCTCTCCCACCCCAACTGACAGCCTCAAAAGAAAGACATCTTTTGTTCCTCAGACAGTTTCAAATAAAAATAAATACAACTTGGCTGGCCACGGTGTCTATGCCTATAATTGTAGCACTCTGGAGGCCAAGGTGTGTGAACTGCTTGAGCTCAGGAGATGGAGACCAGCCTGAGTAAGAACCTATCTCTACTAAAAATAGAAAAAACTAGCTAGGCGTTGTGGGGGGTGCCTGTAGGTCAGGGGGAGGCAGATGTCACCTGCAGTTTGACAGCAGCTACCTGGGCAACTGAACGAGGAGAATTGTTTGAGTGCTGGAGTTTGAGGTTGCTGTGAGCTGGGCTAATGCCACACACTCTAGCCCAGGCAACAGAGTAAGAGACAATGTCTCAAAAAATTAGAAAATTTTAAAATAAATAAATATACCTTCCTTTTTTCTCTCCAAACCAGTTCTGTGGGGTTCTCAGGAGGGAATCCTTGAATACTTTCAGGGATTGATCTCAGTGTTTTAGTTGCAAATGCTCAAACTGCAGGTGACGTCTGCCTCCGGACCTACCCACCTTGAGGCCTGGGAGTGGTTGCCAGCCAGCACTGCCCTGATTACAAAACTTGAGCTCATTTAGGAATCAAACCTCCAGGATCCACCTGCTTTGGTATGTTCTGAGAGGATAAGACTGAATCCCATGATAGCCAACATTCTCCCTTTCTTCTCATTTTCCAATATTTTCTTAAAACAGTACCTTCTGTCCACACTTTATCCTCTCAGAGAATTGAGAAAGCTACTCCCAGCTCTGCCTCTTAGGGAGGGGTGACCCTATGACCGGACAGATGGGAGTAAAGGTCACTCTGACCGCTGGCAGTCTAGCAGAGACCTGTGCAAACACTGTGCTCTGATTTTGTTCCCATGCATCCGGTGGAGTGGGGTGAGGGCTCAGGGCCCGGCTTCTGGAGGCCACTGTCTATCTGTGTCTCATCTCTGTTTGATAGGGATGAGGACAGAGACTCCCTTCCAGCAGAGGAGTGCAAAGTGTGCAGCCCTCCCTACCCACAAGGAGAAACAAAGGACCAAACTCTGGTGGGTAGAGGCCCCTTCCCAGGCCACAGGTGTGAGCTATGTTCTCTGGTTTAGACTTACCATTTTTAAAGATGCACTTTGGGCTCGGCGCCTGTAGCTTGGTAGTTAGGGCACCGGCCACATGCACCAGGGCTGGTGGGTTCAAACCTGGCCAGGGCCTGCTAAACAACAATGATGACAATAACCAAAAAACAGGCATTGTGGCAGGTGCCTGTAGTCCCAGCTACTTGGGAGGCTTAGGCAAGAGAATCACTTAAGCCCATGAACTGGAGGTTGCTGTAAGCTGTGTAACACCACAGCACTCTACCAAGGGTGACAGAGTGAAACTCTCTCTCAAAAAAAATAAATAAATAAAGATGCACTTTGATTTCTATTAGACTTACATGCCTACTACTCAATTGATTCAGAACCAGAAGGGAGGAAGTGTGTGATCACCCAGCTTTCCTAAGATGCCAACAATGACTTGAGGGAACTGCTTACCAAGGAATTCTACTCCTATGCTTCGTGGAGCCCTCTGAAAGAGTCCACTGTGATACGTTGTTTTAGCCATATCATCTCCGTCCCCACCCCTAGTTTACACCTTCCCCCAGCCCCCTGTGAAATTTAGGATTTGTCATATGCCTCCTGTGAGCCAGAGAGCCCACAGAGTTGGAGATGAGGAACCACAGGCCGTGTCCTATTCCAGTCCCTTTTAGTGCCTCTCTGGCTCTGATTTGGGGTACACCACGGATTACCAGGGTGTTTGGCATGTTCCAAGGGCCTTCAACCCAAGATACACTTAAGTCTTCGTGATTTATCCTGCATCCTTATCAATGTGAACAAGAACAGTGTAACATTTTAAACATTCTTATTATTCCTTAAAAAAAATCATCTTGAGGGCCGGGTGCAGTGGAGTCCAAGGCAGGTGGATTGCCTGAGCTCACAGTTTCAATACCAGCCTGAGCAAGAGCGAGACCTCGTCTGTAAAATTAGCCGGGCATTGAGGTGGGCACCTGTAGCCCCAGCTACTTGGGAGGTTGAGGCAAGAGGATTGCTTGAGCCCAGGAGTTTGAGGTTGCTGTGAGCTATGACGCCATGGTACTGTACCAAGGGTGACAAAGTAAAACTCTGTCTCCAAAAAGAAAAAAAAAATCATCTTGGGAATTCTGTGATTTATTATTCATTAATGGAAACTTTCATAAGAGTAAACACTTTTATGTTTTAGGCAAACATTCAGTGGATTACTTTGGAAGAAAGATACATTTTTGTTTCTCACATTACAAGTGAGTTTATAGAACAATAACTCTAGAATTCAATTACATCCTCAGAGTTATCTGGCACAAGGTGTCTTTGAGATATCTCACAAAAAGCAATGAAATGAAATAATAACTATTGTTTATATGGATACATTGTTGGCTGCCTGGCTGTCATGGCCATCTTCCAATCACGATAATTTTAATCCGTCTACATTTTTCTCGCCTACGACTCAGCTGACGGACCTATAACAAGGAAATTGATGTCTCAGACTTTTGAGGACTCAGGCTTAGTGAGTCTCGTGCCATTCCACTCTAGAAGTGAACTTTATTTTTTAATTTTTATTTTTTTTGGGACAGAGCCTCAAGCTGTCCCCCTGGGTAGAGTGCTGTGGCATCACAGCTCACAGCAACCTCCAACTCCTGGGCTCAAGCGAGTCTCCTGCCTCAGCCTCCCAAGTAGCTGGGACCACAGGTGCCTGCCACAACGCCTGGCTATTTTTTGGTTGGAGCCATCACTGTTGTTTGGCAGGCCCAGGCTGGATTAGAACCCGCCACCTTAGGTGTATGTGGCTGGCGCCTTAGCCACTTGAGCAACAGGTGCCGAGCCTAGAAGTGAACTTTATTTATTTATTCTTTTTTTT